TGTCAGCAGTTTTGATAGTCACGTACAGTTTCTAATTTCTCCCACCTTTTCTTAAATTTTTTCCCCTGCATTAGTTTCAAATATTAGATTGAAGGTGTCATTCCAAGAACTGCTTTCAGGAGTTCCAAAATGGGGAAAGGAGGAGGAGACAAAGACTTTCATCCATCAGTTGGGAAGGAAAGAGCGAGCATGAAGGGTTAAAAAGAGGTTTTCATTTCTACCACATGCCCTATTGTGTGAACATATGCATGAGTCTATTGAAAGTTTTCAGAAGATGGGCAGGCCACCAGTTGCTGGTCTCCTGCAGTTCCAGTAGGACATCTGTTGCCCCAGAGCATTAACCAATCTGTTCAAAGGGACATCCTTCCTTTGTTAGCCAGAGGGATGCAGACAACAGCACTCCCTGAAATACAATGGTAATTAAATACACAGAGACTACAGCAGTGGGTATTTATTACATATTCATTATTTTATTTTCATTGTTCTCATGGTATTATCATTTGGATAACAACCAGAACCCGCTTTATGGCATTGTAACTTTACATTACAAACAAACAAATTGATGTAACAACTTTGTGGTCTCATATTCCTAATTAATATGAGGCTCTTTAGAAATAAAAAAAATTTTCCCCCACTGGATTTGAGGTGAAGGATTATCCAAGTCATCTAATGAGAACTTTCAGAGATCTCACCAAATGGGGGAATTTGTGTCCCTGCAACAAATTTCTAGTAGATAACCATATCCTAAGCCTGCTTTCAGCTAATACAGTTTCTTTTTGACTATTAAAATAATTAGTTACACTTCATTGTCTACAAAATTAGCATGAAAATTTGGGTCTTTTTCAACAAATATTTGATTTTTTAACATATTAGGCCTTTAGCCAGAAAAATTATTTTAGTTTCCAGTACAGTATCTGGAGGGAATCTTTGGTTTTGTAAGTGTAAAAATTTGTGTTCAGACCATTATATTTTTGCCCAGTGCTTTCTGTGTTCATGAATATAGTGTGTGTAAAGGCCAATTACAATGGATTCCTGATAGAAAGCTTAAAAGTTAAGCCATATTTTTTGCAGTTTGGTAGTTTTTTTGATAACTATGGGAGTATAAACACTGACCTGTTTTGTGTGTGAAATTTTGTCTATGCTGCTGCTTCATGAAATGAGGAAAATTATCCTTATTAGTTAATAGTTGATTGATTTAAAGATGACTTACATACATTTGCATTTGAGTAAATGCAAAACTTAAAAGTCTAATAAATGATTTAGAAATTAGGGAGAAAAGTATTTTCTACCTTACCTGTAATAATAAATTGGTGATGTTATTGGAGCCTTTGCTATCTTTTTCAACATTATGTTGATCATTTTTAAGGCACTGAGCAAAAATAAAGATCCTCTACTTTTCTTTGTCCTAAGATTTCTTATAACAATTCCTTGTAAGTTTTTCACATGACATTACTTTAACAAGTACTGCAGCCTATGAAAATATTTTTTTTTCAGCTCTTAAATCTTAAGACTGGCGTTTAATTTTTTATTGCGTGATTTCAAGATATTGTGGGGAAAAAAATTTTAAGTGTCATGTTGAGTCAGGGCAATCTTTTACTAATTTCAAGTGGGTAAGGAAGTACTTCAGATTAGTTTTAAAAACCAAATGTTTCCCATCTGGTTACTACAAGTAAGGTTATTTCAGATTTGGATTATGTAACGGAGAAGATCTAGGCCTGGTAACTGAACTCCTTTGCCCGTATTCGTACTATTTCATACTTCGTCTGTTGATCTGTAGGAGCTAAAAACAATTATTTTACTGCCTGTTGAGGACAAGATGACATTGGGTGACTTTCTCTCAAGTAACCAGTGAAGTATGGAACATGAAGAGAGGCCTGTCACTGTGGGGAAAAAGTTCAACCAGAGTATCTTAAAAGAAAAAATATTGTGCCTAACCAAATTAGATGTTAATTTTTTTTAAAGTAGGGTAGATCAGTATTAAAAATCATGTTAGCCCAGTTATTGTAAACTTTTTACTTACATAGTATCTATAATTAGATGAATTGTAAATTACAAGTTAAAGGTGTGTGGTATTCACTAAATACATTCATGTATACAAATGAGTTTTCTCTGGTTTAATATTATAGAAAGCAAATTGTTGATAATCTCATTTTTCCCTCCCTGTTTTATCATTATAGCTATATAACAAAATTATATAGGAGAGCAGATGTACATAGTACCGTGAACACTTTTTTTTTTTATTAGACTGAAGTGATAAAGATTTAGGTACTTGCTTAGGGTAGATAATTTTTAGTTTAAAAACTTTATAGTATTTGGTTTTGTTTCTTTGAAAACTGTGACAATTAATAATTTCACTTATTCTCTAAACATAACGTTTCATTTCCATGTTCCCCAGTGGCTGTGTTTTCATGCAGTGTTCATCTTATTTGAAAAGGTCCAAAAGGAAAACACTTCAGCCCAATATTAAAATAATATTTCCTAGTTGAAGTCAGGGATTTGGTCAGTGAGTCATTATCTTGAAGAATTATCTCACAACAGCACTTCTGCAAAACCCAAACTTTTCAGGGGAGATCAGAAATGTTGCCCATTAAATACACTTCCTGCAGTCGGAGCAGATTGTGGGGTTTACGGAACAATGATGTCGGAGCTTCCAGATTGGTTTGGCAGCTGCATTGTTCTCGGAGGGTAAACCAGACGCACTTAAGTCCCAGTCTCTTTTATAGGCTTTTGTTCATACCAAATTATTCTTTCACTGTGCTAGCATTCATGATGGCGTGTTAAAAGAGTGCAGCTTAGCAACCAGCTTCTGGTTGCCAGGCAGCCCAGCTTCCAATAGGTTTTCCTTGTTCAAGATACTTTTGGTGGGAGCTCTGCGAAGGCCACAGTGCAGATTTTTCTTTTAACTGTATCCCTTCATTAGGATTCTGTTGTGATTTGTTACTTGCATTATGGTGTCAGTATATTACAGTAGTTAATAAATCACAAAGTGTAAAGATTTGCTTTCAAAATCCCTGCCTTTAATTCTAAATAATTGGGCTCATGCATATCCATATTAATAGGAAAAAAAAAATTGAAATGGATACAGCTCCCTAATAGAGCATCTGCTAAGGAGTATTTCTTTTTATCAGTTGAGCAGTCTGGAGCCAGGAAAGCTTGATGTTTCTTTAAAACTAATAAACAAATGCTGCATTAAGAGAACAATGTTATCTGTCTTCTCAAGGGATAAAACCTGAAGAAACTCCTGTAGAATGTGTAGGAGTTCTACACTGATGAAATTTTAAATGTGGTGTTATCAAGCTAAAGATTCCATGTTCTAGTCTTTAGTATTTACCATACTGAATATAATTTGTTTCATTATAGGAATACTCCCCTCTCTAATAAGTTCACCATAATGCATTCAAATGTGTGACTTCTTAGAAAAACACTTAGCATTTTCTCTTAACATTTATATAATAGCTCCTTTCTAGTGTAAATAAGATGTTGAAGAGCTTTAGAATAAAATGTTTTTGCAATTTCCTTTTTTAGATGATTTAAATAGGTGTTTTATGACAGTCTCAAATCCAGCCACCACTGCCTGACTAATGTTATCCCTGGATAGAACACCAGAGTTGCCTTAATACGTAAGCCACTGGTGTGAATATAGTCCTTACACTAGAGCACAAGAGCAGATAATTTTATTCTGCTAACCTGTTCCTGGTATAGAAAGAATAATGAATTCCCCAGTAGACTTTAAGGAAAATTAGCAAAACAGCAAAAGTGTTTTAAACAGTGAAAGCATTCCTTGGGGCGGGGGGGAAGCAAAGTGGGAGAAAAGATGACTTTTTAACCAAATGTGGATAATGGGTAACTAATTATCTGATGTGATACAGAAGTATTTTCTTACATTAAATTCAGGAAATTAAGATAACACGTATTCGGGGCGCCTGGGTGGCTCAGTTGGTTAAGCGACTGCCTTCGGCTCAGGTCATGATCCTGGAGTCCCGGGATCGAGTCCCACATCGGGCTCCCTGCTCAGCGGGGAGTCTGCTTCTCCCTCTGACCCTCCCCCCCTCATGTGCTCTCTCTCTCTCATTCTCTCTCAAATAAATAAATAAAATCTTTAAAAAAAAAAGAACACATATTCAACGTACTTTATTTGCTGTTACTTTTCTGTGAACTGTACCATTTCTCTGCTTTCTATAAATGTGCAGAGAATAAAAGCACTTTTTCCCCCTGGAATAAAATAGATGGTAGTGTCCCTGACACTTAGTAAGGGTAACATAACATTAAAATTTGTCTTCTGTTACTGTGCTCTGTATCCACAAAATAAAGATTGTTAGGGCAAAACTATGCATCTCCTCGATGGAATATAATTCACTTTGTGATTATTTAGTTCTTTGTTGGCTGTTGTAGAACTGTGCTCTTTTAGCACTCCACCTAAATTATATCTGGAATGTCTTTAGATTGTTGTTAAGCTTGATCCAAATTAATGTCAATTTTCCAATTATAGTAAGTTAACGTTTGCCTTTCTTTCCATATGGCTTTCCCTTCAAAATAATCTTTACAAATGTTTATGAATTCTTTTAGAGAATATGTATGTAACCTGTCACAGTTTAGCCAGAACATGCTTTTTGGTAATAATGTAGGTGTCAGTCTGGAAACATTGGCCTTTCTGACAGTGGAAAGATCTCTTCCACGAAAGGTTGAGAAGCAGCATGATAGAATGGGGAAAGCACGGGTTTGGGAGTCACGCAAAACTGGGTAAAAAAAAAAAAATCCAGTTCCACTAGTTATTTTCTTTGTTGCCTCAGAGGAATTGCATGACATTCTCCTTCCTAACTTCTTCCTCTGAAAAACAGGGCATGATCCTATCTGGGGCAAAGGTGTTACGAGGGTTGAGAAGATGCAGAGAAACCGCAAAGTTGAATGTTCGGTAGTTGGGCGATATTCTTTCACCTTTACTGGAACAAGAATGAACCAATAAATACAAAATTCTAAATGTTTTACGTTTTTTTCTCTAGGAATACGGGGTGCTTTGCATTCAGGAATACAGAAAAAATAGCAAAGTGGAGTCAAGTACACATAACAGCTTCATGGGCTTGAAGGATCATCTGGGGCACGACTTGGGCCACCTTTATGTGGAGAGTACTGACCCACACTTAAATACATCTGTACCTTGGTCAATGGTAGAGAAGCCAACAATGGATAAAGTCAATTCCGGGAAGGAAGAAAAAGAGGTGTCTGAAGAGAATACGAGTTCTGGTGACTCCGAAGAAAGCACACATTCTGATAATGAGTCAGAACACTTGAGGAGCGTTTCAGTAGAGCCATGCTTATTAACCAAGACTCACAGACAACTGTGTAGGTCTCCCCGCTTAGAGCCTCACATACTCAAACGCAGCGACATTTTGCAGGACTTTAAACCTGAGGAGTCCCAGACGACGTCCAAGGAAGTGAAGAAGCCCCCTGATGTGGTGCGAGAATACCAAACAAAACTGGAGTTTGCGCTGAAGTTAGGCTATTCGGAAGAACAGGTTCAGCTCGTGCTCAATAAACTCGGTACCGATGCTTTAATCAACGACATCCTGGGAGAGCTCGTCAAGCTTGGAAATAAAAGCGAGGCTGAGCAAACAGTGAGTACAATGACCAGCGTCCCGCGGGACTCGTCTTCCCTGGAGTCTCAGCGGTCTGACTCTCCGATGCAAGAGAGCACAGCGGACGATGGGGAGAATCTGAGGCCAGTTGTCATTGACGGTAGCAATGTGGCAATGAGGTGAGTGGGGAGAGCGTTGCTCATTCTTACCATCTTTGGAAGGTCTTCCTAGTTTCGCGGCCATTTCTCTTCTAACAGTTGGGAAAGTCAAGATGATTCTGCATCCCAACAAGTGGCTTACGTATTTCTAATTATGTCCCTTTTAGTTTTCTTTCAATCTGTTTCCAGGGCGGTCGGCCATTCTCTTAAAAAGAGACTCTCTTTCTCCAGACAAGTCTCTTTTTTCCCCTCATCTGGCTAAATTACTGTGGCATAAAAATTAGCACACGTTCCTGGGGGACTCTTAACCGCTGGTTTTAAATGAAGAACTTGAGTATGATGATACTCAACAATTTTGGAATCTAGTCAGATAAATAGTCTATTTCTGTGTGAAGTCAAATAACCATAGGGAAAAACACCAGTTCTTTTAGAAAAATATTTTTATTGCTTTGGGAACAAATCAAAGTTATAGTTTCAAATTTCTTTTGTTTCACTTAAGAAATGTAAATTCAAAAATAACTCCGTAGGAACTGGGGATAAAAAAAGAACAACTAATATAAAATTCTTTTTACGAATTTTGATAACAACATTTTAAGTGCCTCTAAATTCAATTAGTATAAAGTTAATTTCCCACAATATTCAGAGCACTGTGGGGGATATAAAAATATGTAAAGGTGTCAGTTCTTTCAGAGAGCTTAGAATTTCATATATTGTTTCTTAGAAAGTGATCTGAGGATACCTACCACAGGTATCATCTGGGGAAGCATCTAGAGCAATGCTGTTCAACAGAAATATAATGTAGGAACATACATCATTTTAAATTTTCTGGTACCTACATTAAAAAGTTAAACAGGTAAAATTGATATGAATGACATATTTTATTTAGACTCATAGAGCCAAAATATCATTTCAACATGTAATCAATAATGCGATATTTTGCATTATTCTTTTGATATTAAGTCTTAAAATTGGATATCTTACACTTACAGCACATCTCCATTCAGACGAGCCATACTTCGAGTGTTCAGTAACCACCTGTAGCTAGGGGCTACCATACTGGGCAGTGCAGTTCTAGAGACCTGCCAACTCCACACATAGACTTACCAAGTCCAGGTCAAGGGGTAGCTCCTGCATCACCTTTTGTTACAAGTACCCCAGCTAATAAGAATATGTACTGAAATTTGAGAGCCACTGGTTTTTAGCAGGTGAGAGTAAGGACTTGTACCCGGGATATGAGAAGGACCAACTTATAATCCTCAAAATAACCTTTTCAGGTGGAAACAGTATTATCTTTCTTTCACTTATAAGCATATGAGACTTGCAGGATATTAACTGCTTACCCAAGGTAAAGCATAATTCAAACCCAAGCATGTCTGACTTCAAAGTCCGTACACTTTTTATTGGATAATGAGAGAGAGAAACAAGTTGAAAAGGTTCAAGCCAGGCCTTTTGAGGCCTTGAGTGACAAGCTAGAGAATTTGAACTTGACCCTGATCCAAAGGTAACTGAAGACTTTCGAGGAGAGGATATAAGAGTAGAGTTGTGCCTTACACTGATAACCTGGCAGTGATACTTAAAGTGGATTATAGGAGGTAGGAGATCAATTTGGATGCATGCAACCCTTTCTGATGAAGTGAAGCGGGCCTAGAGTGTCCTAGAGGTATGAAGCGTATGTATGGCCTCGAGAAGTCTTTCAGTAAAATAACCTCTCTCTTGTTCAGACTTTCCCAAACTTAGCCACAGAATGATTTTTTTTTTTCCTTGTAGTCCAGAACTTGTGAACAGTTACCTCAACAGAGTGATAACTTGTAAGGCCAAAACATCATGAAATCTCCAGGAGAGAGAGTAATGAGAGAAGGTAATAGGATCTGGAGGAACACCTATACCTGTAGGCAGAGATCAGAATCACCAGGGGGAGTCTCAAAAAAATACACCTTCTCTCTACTCTTGGAGAATCTGAATCAGTGGGGCTATGGTAGAGCCCAAATAATAATCTATTTAAGTGCCAAGGTATTTTGATGCATAGCCAGTGTCAAAAATCATTCAGCATGAAATGTGAATATTTACAGGTCGGGAGGGGAAAGAACAGTGTGAAAACCCCGAGGGTTAGAAAAAAGTATAGTGCTAGAAAAACCAAGGACCTACAAATGCCATCAGGACTGGAAGAAGAGAAGGCTTTAAGGAGAGAATATCCTGTGGGTAGTACTGAAAAAAGATCAGAGGACATGGCAGCCAGGAAGTCACTGTCTTCAGGAATGCCATATGGCCTTAAAGGTAGAAGCCCAGTTACAGGGATGTCAAGAAATGCAGGAATAGGGGCGCCTGGCTGTCTCAGTTGGAGGAGTGTGTGACTCTTGATCTCAGGGTTGTGAGTTCAAGCCTCACACTGGGCATGGAGCCTACTTAAAAATTTCAAAAAAAGAAAAAAAAGAAAGAAATAGAGCTAGACCGGTATTCTAGGAAGTTGACAGAGGAAGGGAAGAAAGAGGAGGAAGTGTTGGGGGAGGATTTTGTTTAGTTTGGGGTTTAAGAATGAGCCTGTCTAAGCCCAGGGGACAGGGAAAGGGTGTCCACAGGAGAGGGAAGAGGAAGGCAGTAACCACGGGACAGTTGAACTTTGGAAGCCGAGTTCTGAAGGGGGTACCAAGAAAGGTACCAGTGGAGTACTTGGCGTTGGAGGTAAATGCACTTCTGGACAAGCACAAACAGACCTTGGAAGGGGAAAAGGGCATGAGATTTCTAAAACTTGGAGCCCACAGAAATGAATTTCCAAGATGGATGTCATTTAGATAAATGATGTCACAGTAGGATCAGCCTCACATCCACTCCCATGACTAACACCTAGTTCCCAATGGAAATGAAGATTTCCACTGGAAATAATTGAAAATTTACGTCAGACTCTAAACTCTGCTTACCACACATGGTGAAAATCATCCACAGGAAAACTGTGCTACAAAAATAGACGGCATCAGGAAGGCATGTGAACAGTCTATTCTTAAGTAATTAGGAAAACAAACTTCTGCCCCCACACTCGTGTGGCGCCACCCCGTTTCCCTTGCTGGACCGGTGGGACAGTGCAGAGCCTGTTCTTCTCGCCATCATATATTTTAATCTGACACTTAAACTGAAGTGCTCCAGGCATTTCAGGACAGAACAAGTTGACAGGAAATTTTTATTATAGCAGCATTATACTGTCAGTCACAATAAAATGTTGTACCACGTCCATAACTCTGAAAGTGCCAGAGCTCATGAAAATTCATAGTAAGCTTTTATATTCTGCCATTTATAAGATCTACATAAAGTAGGGGAAAAAAGTCATTTAAAAATACCTATCTACTTCAGATTCAAAATCTTAATTTAACAAAAAAATGCAGACAGATTTCACCCATTTCTTGTCTCATAAAATAAAACATGCTTTTACTTTTAAAATTAATTGCCCACTCATACTAAGTTAGGCAAGGCTATTATATAATAAATTTGTACACATCATGTTAAAATAACAAGTAAATATGGGGGTGAGTTAAGAATAGAATACTATTTTATTTTCTTTCTCATCTCAGGCAGAAGTAGTCCATATATAAGATGAATATATTTTGGTTTCATTTATTTTTTTTTTAAGATTTTATTTATTTATTTGAGAGAGAATGAGAGAGAGAGAGCACGTGAGAGGGGGGAGGGTCAGAGGGAGAAGCAGACTCCCTGCTGAGCAGGGAGCCCGATGTGGGACTCGATCCCGCGACTCCAGGATCATGACCTGAGCCGAAGGCAGACGCTTAACCAACTGAGCCACCCAGGCGCCCATATATTTTGGTTTCATTTAAATGCCAGCTATAGAACTGATAGAAAATGATTCTTTAGCTAGAATTTAAAAGTAGGAAGGCAAGGGCATTTTTATAAAAATTACCAAAGTAGACTTTAAAAAAAAAAATGAGTTGTCTATGTACCACCTTTGTGATTCTAAGTAAGTTGTTAAAACTTTCCAACCTTCCTTTTCAGAATTGTAAAAAGGGGAATTCTTATCTTACAGGCCTGTTATGAGAATTAAAGGTAATTAATACCAAGTGCCTGGCATGTCCTAGATGCTCAGTAAATTACAGTTAGTGCATTAGAGTTAGATTTTGTATTTCAATCCAGAATATAGTAACTAATGAATGCTTTGTTATCCCAGGGTTTGGTTTGGTTTTGTTTGGTTTTTTTTCAGTATTTAATAAGCATAGCAATTTCGCAGTCTGTTTTATTTGTATGATTTATGGGAATATTTTAATTCTTGCTTCAAGTTTATATCATCGGTGGTTTTCAGTGATGATTTCTACAGCTTCATAAAGGAGACTTGGGCTCTTAGATCCGGGTGACTTCAAAGTCACGCAGGGACAAGCCACGTAAGCGAGACAGACACCAAAGGCCCTGGGGTTGCAGGGATCCTCCTGTGGTGGTGTGGAGGCAGCATGCTTTACTTCCCGTCGATTCATCTGCTTTTCAAAATGTGCCACACTGATAGAAGTTGTGGGTACGTTTGTTGAATAAGCAAGTCACCAGTAATTGACAGTGACCCAGAACTTAGTCCAGCATAATTTGTGATACCTGTTTCACTGCTGAGTGTGTAGGGCGTAAGGGTATTAAAACAGAAAGGTAAACTAAGCTTAGGGAAAGCCCTAAACGTTTACATATAAAATATTAAGCATTTAGTACGTGTTTGGTTTGTGAAATATGTCCCAGAATGAAATTTATATTTAGTGGAGCTGGACTAATAAATCCTGACAAGAAGTGCAGTTGATTTTAATTCCTTTAAAAAAACCAACCAACCAAACAAACAAACCTGCAAATTGGTCACTGAGCAAATAGGCCTCTTTCCTTAAAGGGACAGATGCTGGATAATATGGATACACCAGGTGCTGTATGCCCCAGATATGGACACAGAGATAAAGCATGAGTAATATTCATCACATTTCTGAAATGAAATTCTGAGGCTATTGTGATGTTTATTTCCTCCAAGTAGCTTTGTAATTTTTCAAACCCTGTGA